CTATAGGCACAACGAATTTCCCCTTTGAAATTGAATCAAATCTTCCATTACTCACATCAACCAAGTGTGTTTTGTTCTTGAAGTGTCCAAATTTTCCTGTCCCTCAATAACTGATCAGTTTTTTTGCTCAAATGTCAAATGTGTAGCTACACTTATTAGTATCTTCGCCCGCTGATATTCACATCAAATCTAGCTCTCTCTCTCTCTTAGAGATTACATAAGTCTCATTATGGATGCTTCATCTACCGGTAAAGGTTTCATTCTTAAATCAATCATTGGTACTTCAACGAAGCTCAGGAACACAATAATATTCTTTGGCAGTTGACTAACATGTCAAACGTTTATAAAAAAATGTATCATATGAATTGATATTAACAGCAATTTTATTGTAGCAAAACGGAAAAACACTCTGAGACAAAGAAGTTCTATGCGAGGAATGAAGGATTTAACTTGCGTATATGATAAGTTCGTAGTTTAAATCAGGCGTGAGCTGACAAGCTAGGAAGCAAAACATCTGCGAAGACCTGGCTGAGTATCATCCCATCAGAAGTTTGCGAATCCATCGACCCAACTCGGGATTGAACTCTGGACCCCACCGGTAGGGCAAAAGCATGCTACCCAGTCGGTCAGACCGGGGCAACTGATCAAACCGTTTCTCATTCCGAATATACAATATATAATGCAATCCATTTTTGCGAGCTTGTTGCGGGCATCGTTCCTCGCTCATGTCAGCACTAGCCTACCGGGGTTATGATTCGGTTGGAAACTTTCACAACCTGGTTAAATCTTGACTTTTCAGCTCACGCCTCATCCACACTATGTATTCATCATATAAGTTTGCATAAATATTTTTTTGGTTCAAAGATTTCCATCGTAACTTCCCATGAGATGTTACGGTTTATTTATAATCATAATTGTTCTTTAGATGATTACTGTGTTTGGCTGAAAAATGTCATTAGTCTAATTACAACCACATCTTGATGGTGTGACCCTTGATATAATCGAGTGTAATTCAAATATCTGGAACTATCAGACAAGAAAAGGCCTCGCTAGAATCAGTGTTGCCAGGTTGTTCTCACAGTCACTGTCATCGGCGAGATTGGACCCTATGCTGTGTGGTTCGAGCCGCGTCAACATCACCCAACTTGAGTGGTAGGCAACTTCGCTGTTGTTTCGTTCAATACCACGTCTCATATAGCCTTGTGTGGTTTGCCGCTCCAAGTCCTGGGGTACAAGTTACCGGTTCCCATGGCTGAATAGCATGTCTTTGTGATTATGCGTTCCACCCCGTCTGCCGTTCATCACAAACTGGTGTGTAATAAAAAAAGTAAACTTTTTCCCATCTTTAAGGAATGGTCAACATCAGTTGGTTTGGCTTAAACTAACATTTGTTACAATCGCCGGATGGTCTAATCATATGGCAATTGTGAATTTTCATCAAAGATGCGCTGATAGCAGATAGTGTGAGGACCATTGGTTGTCCGCGGCCCCCTGTTCCAGATAACTAACAGAATGTGCGGAAAAAACACCAGCACAAGTTAATTCTTGTTTCCCCGATGTACCCGGATCTGATAAGGTTCCAATAAATCTCGACAATCAATCAATCCGTACTTGTTTTGCTGATTCTTAGGTGAACTGTCGGCGGTTCAACGACTGCCTTCAAGCCCCGGATGTCAAATTTCCATCCTGTGAGTTTAATGGAAAAAAACATCTGCACTATATGAAGACAATATGTGGATATCCTCAACGCGATTATTCGTGACGTTTGTTCGTATACGAATACGAGCAATTCGCGATACGTCACAAACTAAAACATTCACCCCCGATCATAATCAACATTTCGGAGGCTTGAAGGTTCCCTAATTAAAAAAATAATACCAATACATTGTATTGTTTCATACTTCATCGAAGGAAGCTGTTAGGAATGGCGTAAGAGCAGCAGTCAAGGAAAACACCCGAAATACAAAGCATAAGTTTCGGTTTTTACATTGTGTTACTCATGAGTAGTGTGAATAGCGTACATATAAACATCGTGCTGCGTGTTCCATGAAACCACACTCATTTACCATTGGACAGTGCTCGAACCATTATATTTCAGTTTTTTGTCATAGACAAGACGAGACAAGCAAATTTTACAAGTTCTATCTGATCCGAAGCAGAAATGCCGAAATCATACAGGCACACGGGCAGTCACATGCAGAAAGGCGTGTACGGCCGCACCGTGGTCCCGCACTGTGATACACACATAGACACACAAAACCACAAATCTGATTCACACATATATGGTAAACTCGTCTAAGATCTCGCAAGCAAGAGCAGTTGCTCTCTCCCGACCAACATCACACCTTCTCGGTCGAATAATGTAACTGAGATCACGTGTTCCG